GAAACTCCGTCTCAAAAAAAAAAAAAAAATAGTAGCTCCACAGAATTACAGCTTTCAGGTTCATGTGAAAATGAGATTATTTCCATAGCCAAATACAAATAAGGCACTTATTAATCATGTTATAGGAAGGCTTGTTATGACTGATTAAATAACATACACCCTCCAAATACTAAAACCGTGAAACGTGTAAACACTGTATTGATAGCTAACTGTACTCACCACTGTAAGCTCTTTACCAGCTGCTTTCCGGAATGCTTTGGTCCACCTAACTTTGCGAGGATTGCGCTTCTTTTTAAAGTTTTTATGACATTTAGATTTACAAAATCTGAACACCTAGAAGAAAAGTTAAAATATGGAGAAGTCAACATTTAAAACTTTCTATCATAAGACGTTACCCCGGCTGGACAAAAACTACTTTTCCTTCTACTTGCCCTGCCTTTTAGAAATGTGTAAGATATATCAGATTAAATGGAAACAACTATTTTTTAACTATCAAACATCATCCCAACCAAAGGCTAAAGGCCCTGAAAATATTATTTAAAATCACTAATCATTATAGAATAACAGTAAAATTATCTCAAATAAAGGGAATGGTTTTAAGTAAAGTCACTTATTTAAGTCGTTTCTTAATTCAGGATATTTTTCAAAATTCACTGTCTCTATACCTCAATGGGGATAAAAGTTTCAACCAACCATTACTGAAATCTCCTTTGAGTCTTTCCCTCTTTCTTGTTGAAAGCACAAAATAATTTCAAAAGCAACTAAAACTGGTAATATAACAGATTTGTTTTCTACTGATTCATAGATCTACCAGCAAGATTCTTTACTGCTTTAATTCTCCACCTTCACCCCAAAAGACATAATCCTTTAATAATGCTAACTTACAACTTAATGATGCTTCAACATGTTCCTGAAATGGCTTATTAGGACTCATTTCATAAATCTAACAGTATTGTTTTGTTACTCTATAAAGCCTTACAACACACTGCAATTTGTACATGCCACTGGAGGAAATGGGGAGAGGAAATGTAATTATTTGGGATTTGTGGATCTTGGTAAAGAAAATTAAATTGAATTATCATACCTAGAAGGTATGACAGATAATTAAATAGGTCAAAATAAACAGTAAAAACACTTCAAACTAAATAAGCCTCTGTATGTAACACAAATCATAATACTTTTCACCTGTTATATACACTGCCCTATGGGGAACTTCAAGTAGGTCACTACACACAGTGTAGGACAGTTTTCTTAGAAACTGCTTAAATGGTTTTGTGATATGTTTTAAATTTTAAAAAAAGAAAATCAAAAAATTTTTTTTTTAATTTTTTAAATTAAAAAACTAAAAAAAATAAATAAACTGTTGCTATTAGTTTAATCTGACCAAGACACGTACCTCCTAGACAGCCTTCTCCTAAGAGACTAAAGTGAAAACATGTCTATATCCTTGAGTTAATGTCAAATAGAGTAGAAAATATAAGAACTACTATAGTCTCCTGGCGTAGCCTACTATGAAATCATGAATGAAAAATGAACATATGAAAATCATTGTGAAATGAATTATCATACTTCATTTGAGTATTTTCAGCCCAAAATACTATTACTTTTTTTAAGTAAAAGCCTTCCATATTTAATACCTACTAGATGGTCCCTAGGTAAATTTCTTTT